TGGGCCCACAGCAAGAGGTTCTGCAAGGGCTGTTCGTCAGTTTTCGCACTATGCTGCTTAAGCTCGCGTTTTAAAACTAAATAAATGTGGTTTTGTTCAGAAGATATTTGAGTCCCCATTGTACCCAAATTCCCACTGTAATTAGGACCTGAAGTACACAGGGTGGGTGCCTGCACTTCCCAAAAAATCAAGCCACTGATGCCAATCAGAGCTGAGGAAAAAATCAGGAGCAGGTTTTCAATCTCTTGGTGTGTTGCTTTAAACAGCAGGAGCTCATGTTTGGACAGAGAGAGGGATGCTTGGGCACATCTTCCCATGGGAATTTCCTAAATTTAGCATCACTTTTATGGTCCTGGTTCATCCTTTGGAATATGTTTTCAGCATCAATAGAAATCAGTATCCTAAACCCTCTCAGAGCACCCACACCCGGCAGGGGCAGGATTTCTGTCACCCCTTTCCCTGAATCTTTTTCACATCCCAGTTGAGATTTGGGGATGGATCAACTGAGACCTGAACAAGGTTCAGACACTTAAACCAACGTGATGCTGCTGAAGTCACTCAACTTTCATCTGTGAAACAGCTTTTGAAATGATTCTGGAAAAGGTGATGGAAAAGAGGAAAGATGAAATCTGGTTTAAACAAATTCTTACTAAAACATTTTCTTTTTAGAATAAGAACCTTTTCAAAATCATTTAATTATTCAGTTTTTAATAAAAAGGGAGAAAATTTTCAGTCTCTTTAGTTTTAGCTAAAAAATATCTCAGCTTAGAAAGGCAAAAATATTTTGCTTCCCCTCCAGGTTGTTCTTTTCTTTTCTTGCACACCTTTAAAATGATAAAAAGAATAAAGTGGAAACACCCCAATATTGAAAAGAGTTTATCTATTCCTCATATTTCCTCTGAGAATAGAATCCTAGAACATGCTGAGTTAGAAGAGACCCATCAGGAACACCAAGTCCAACAGTAATTTTGAGAGTGTCCAGGAAAATAATGGAAATACATTCAAATGTTTGGTTAGGAAGTTTAAAAGGAAAGTGCTGGTTATCCTGCCAAGTGCTTCTGTCCTACAAAACTACAGTGTTGATGTAAATATGTGGATATTTAGATATATCTATGTGCTCTGTGTCTCTACTTGCTCGCAGTCGCTGTCCTGGGCTCTCTCCAGCAGAAAAACGTGGAGCTCCAGGGGAATATGCAGTGGGAGGTAAGAAGAGGCTGCAGGAAACCCGAGATCAGCTCAGCTGGGCAGAGCAGGGGGCTGATAATGTCCAGGTTGGGGGTTTGATTCCTGTACAGGCCGTTCACTTCAGAGCTGGACTCGGTGATCCTTGTGGGTCCCTTCCAACCCCAAATACTCCGTGACTCCATAAACATGGGGTGCCAGGGGTGGAAGCCATGGGGAACAGATGAGAAACCCAAATAATTAACAAATAAATAACTAGGAAGCAGAACAGGAAAGGAGCAGAATTAGCCCCCCAGGCAGAGGAA